AATAATTTAATTTATTATCTAAATCTAAATATTTAAGCTTAAATTGATAAAGAGTTTTACTTTCACCTATTACTTAAAAAAAATCTCTTCTACTCTAAATTTTTTCATGTTAAAAAAAAAGAAAAAAAAGAAAGATATGGAAAAAAAGAGAAATTCAATTTCAATTTCAAATTCTTTAGTAGAAGAAGGCAATTAATATACATATATTTTTATTCTTTAAAATAAATAAATTAAAATATATGTATTTTAATTAAATTTTAATATGCTTTAGTTATGTAAAATCAAACATTGAATTGAGAAATTACCCTTTCAAATGGAATCAACTTGTTTATTGCACCTTTTGATTTCTTTGTTATATTTCTTTTCAACCAAACTTTATTAAGTTTCATTTTTCAAATATATGATAGGAAAAAAAATAATAATAAACGTACAAATGATATATATACCCATCCCATTACTTTAAAGGATTTTTAACTTTCGATTGTACAAACTAATAGGTAATTTTATAGGATCGGGGTCATGGAAATTATATTTTTATATTTCGACTTAGAGAATTAAATTTTAATTTACTCATTAAGAGGCCATGTGTTTGACATAAATATTCTGTATATGTATTACACTTATTAGATTGTTTTGTAATTAGAGAAAGATTCCAAATATGTTGTTGTCTAAAAAGTTATGCAATCTACTTTGTATGATCAACACACTCTCTTATGTTTGTCACTTTGTTTTTATCACGATGGATTGCCACTATCGTTATCAAGAAAAAAAAGAAAAAACAAAAACATCAATATCAAATTTGGAAACTGAAAGGGCTAAATAGGTCAAGCCAATTTACAAGAAATAAAAGGAGGATTATCACTCTAGTTTTCACATGATATACATCTACTCCATGTTTTGACGGCTGAAAAAATGATTATCTGAAGCCAATTTCATAATACCAAATCTTTTTTTTTTTTCCTTGGGTACATCAGAAATTCATAATCCCAATTTAAATTACCATTGATGGTCCCAATTTGAGTTTAATTTTTTTCTTAAATAATATCTAAAAATATCAATTTAATTTATTAATTAATTAAAAATAAATATTAAATTTTTTATATAAATTATTTTTATCAATTAAATTAAATAAAACCAATATTTATAATATTTTATAATGTTTGGGGTAACCAAACCCTTCCTTTCTGTTGCTCTAAACTTAATAACTTATATCTAATTACTTCAGTATGTATTTACCGGCCGACGCAGGGGAGAAAGAAGCATTACTGGAACTCTTCAGGTAAACGCAAATTCTCTCTTAATGCATTACTGTGCATGAAACCCATTTTTTTACTGATCGGAAAGAGGAAGGTGATGGTGTTCGGTGGACTTCTGGACAAGAAATTCCTATGTGACATCATCGTTTAAGATAGTTGTATATTCTGCTGTTTAATGGGTGTTTCTTCAATCTTCAGGATATATGAAGGGCTTTGAATTTTGATTAATGGGGTTCTCTGGTAGCCTGAAAATGCGATAGGGCGATAGTGCTTTCCCATTAACTGATTGCAGATGAGCCAAGCACTTGAGTAGATGTTGAAAGGTTGATTGGAGGTTCTGAATTGGTCTTTTTTCTCATTCTTGTTTTTTTAGAGAACAAAGTATGGTTTAAGGCAGCATGTGCTGGGAGTGGGTCTGATGGACAAACTGGTCCCAGCCCACGAGCATTTCACGTTGCTGTTGCTGTTGTTATTGATGGTCAACTGTTCTTCCTTGGTGGTCCTTCTGGCAGCAGAAGGTCGGGCAATTTTTGGATGCTGGACACAGGTGAATTTCCTTTGTTTGTAAGCTTGTAAACTAGTGGTTAAATGACCTATCTTGGTGCTCGTAACCTCAGTGATTTTTAGTCTTCTTTGTAAGCTTGTAAATCTTATACCAGATATATGGCATTGGTTGGAGCTGGCAGTTTTATGATTTACCCACATAACGGATTTTCTCTGCAGGTTGTAAACAAACTAGGGCTTACATTTTCTGAGTTTGAGAATGACACTTAGCATGGTTAAGCACAAGTATGCTGTTTGTCTCTGCAACTTGCTAAACTCCAATTTTGATGCATAATTTTAGAAATTAGCATGTTTAAAATGATTTCTATGTTCCTCTTCTGGTAGAGAACCCGAGCCATGCCCCCACAAAGAAACCTTCCTGAGAATAAGGATGCAGTGGCAACAAATGATAAAGCCCTCTCTGGACTCGAGGTATCATCACAAGGCTCTGTAGAAATGCCCTACTACTTTTATTTAGTTTTTTTATTTTTTTATTTTTTTATTTTTTATATTTTATAGTTGTTAAAGGAGCTCATTGCTCCTGCCTCGATTTCTTGTTGCTTTGATTGGATTGCAATAATGATCTGAAACCTTGATGTAATTCATCGGCTTTCATGGTTCTTCCATTTTTCAGCTGCTTATGGATGTTATTCCAATACTAGTGGAAGAGTATAAAAAGCTCTGTTATTCTTCCCTACCAACATTTTGACTCAGGGTGATGTTTGTAAGAAATGAAGTAAAAGCTTGCTTTGAGGTTTTATTCCTTCCTCACATTATAACATTGTGGAGTATCTCACTTCTGCCTGAAACTGACCCTTACCTGATCTCAACTATCATCCATTCTTGTTGAGCAAAGCTAGTACAGGCAGTGTTCTTATCAGTACATAATCCTGGAGAACCTACTGTTTCACTGCTGCCATAATGTATGATTGAATTTTGTCTATTGAATCATGTACTGCTACTGCATATTATATCATTCACTTATGGAACATAGGCACATATTTGCCTAAACTGGGGGATGTTGAAATTGCTATTTGCAGAAGTAAACTATATGTATTTCAGGCTCTTCAGCATGCACATTTAGCATCATTTCCACAATTCTTTTGTTTTAGTACTTAGAGAAGGCGATTACAATCTGTCAGCTATGAATCCTCATATAGCAAAATACAGTTTAATGAACATGCATCAGAAACCAAAGAACAAGATGGCAGCAATCAGAAGAAACTGATACAAAGGTAGCTATAACTTAAGAATGATTTGTATTCTAAGCTAATTAAAGACAAAAGCCAGTAAAAGGAGAATGGAGCTGAAAGGACACCTACTGTAGAGATTCCATATTCTTGCTCAGCTCCTCGAGTTTGGTCATCCTCAATTTCTCACTTTCAGTCAGCAGCTGTTAAGAAAATATGCCAGAAGAAACCCACTAAACAAAGTGGAGCAAGGAGGAAGGAGAAAAAAAAAAAAAAAAAGACAAGGAAAAGGAATCAGATGAAGGAATTACCTCCATTAAAGTGGTAACAAGCTGTGCCTTTTCTCTATTCTTTTCATTGAAAGCTTCAAGAGTATCTTTGTACTCTTTCTCCTGTGATGTATCAGAATCAAAATGAAGTAGTCGGTTTGATTTCTCATATTGTCAGCATAATGCATATTGGCTTTTGCTTTTAGATACAACACAAAAATTCATTTCCAAGAGATTCACCTTCTTTTGGCAGCTTTGTCCAAGTGCCTTTAACTCTCGGTTAGCCAGGTCTATCTTCTTACGTATGGTTGCAGCTTCCTTCCTCGCTGGATCGGTGAGTTCTTGGAGTTCCTGATTCAATGGTTCAGTAAACTCATTATTCTATGCACCTGGTAACTGGATACGTTAGACTAGAACCTAAAACCTCAATATTATGCTAAAAACTTACTTCCCAAATCTGTTTCAAGCGCTTTGCTTCTTCCTCAGCACGACCCAAAAGGAGTTCAACTTTCTCTTTAACCTCCCTCTTCTTCCTCTCGATCTCTTCCTCTCTGGACTGAAATTCAGATATTGCCAACCTTGAAATCTCCTCATCCTCATATTTTTCCTCCATCAATAGCCTCCCACTGCAGCTCATGTTTCCTTTGTTCATCACATACTACGTAGTCGCAGCTTATCCCAGCTGCCACCTTCTTAATGTGTCTTCATCACCAAAACTATCCCCCTGGTCTTGCTGTTTGCTTATGCTTCAAAACTATAAGATACCTTGCTTTCTCTTCACTCCGTTCCAAAGAAAGCAAAAGAAAAAAGGGCAACAGAGAATTGCTTTCCTTTCAAATAATCCCTCCAAAACTTGAACAAAAAAGGAAAATGAAAAAAAACAAAAAAAAAACTTCTTTTCATTTTCATCATTTCCTTTTGTGATTGTTGCATAAATCATCAATAAACAGATGATTTTGATGATGAGAATGGTGTCTTTAGGAATGAACCAATTGTCACGGTCATGGGTGCCATATCCAAGACCTCATATTTCCCTATTTCAGACGACAAGATAAATTATTTTTCTTGGAGGGTATCAGACCACACATATCATGAAGGATTGTTGAGCTGTATGACATGGGGACAACACACTTTCTTTTCTTTTTTTTTTTTTTTTTGGCCGACGCATAGGGACAATGGTTTGACAGCTTTAGCCTTTAGTAGTCAAAAAGTAATTTCATTGAGAAAAAGAAAAGTTGGAGGAAAGATAAAGTCGTTTAAGAAATTCGTTTATTGAGATTCGTGGGGATGCTTTGTCACCCAACTTTGTGAAAAACTATCAACATTTTAATCAGGCAATTCACACCCCAAACAAAATGGTCACTCAATTTAGACAAAATCAATATTTTGTTCACTCAACTCATAATTATCTCAAAATGATCACTCAACTTTTTTTAAAATAACAAAAACGTGAAAAACTACTCCTAAAGATCGCCATAGTTAGGTAAAATTTCAGTGACTAGTTTTTATGGTGCAAACAAATGAATTTATGGTTCAGTGAGCAAAATATTGATTTTGACAAAGTTAGAAAACTATTCATAAAATTTATCTTGAGATTTGAGAGG